ATAATAACAGCAGCTATTAATAATAATAGCAATAATAGCAACAGACTATTGAACATTTAAAAGAACCAGTCATTATGTAAAATGCTTTCTCTGCATCACCTTGTTTAATTCTCACAACTGTGAAGTAGGTGTATCACCAGGTGTGTTTTACAGATTAGAAAAGCTGCCTAATAGCTGACAAAGTCCAGATTCAAACTCAGCCTGTGGGTTGTGGACCATAGGCACTATTTAATAATTAAGTTTTTTTAATGTTCATCTAAATTTTAGTTTATTCGATGTTAGTAACTTTTGTTATGAGTAGTGAATTTTTTAAAATTTACTTGTAAATTTTAACAATGGTTTTTAACTTAATCTTTCATCTGACCATCAAAGGAAAAAAATATCAGCTGTGCAGTCAAGTCAGTATAATATATAAAGGAGGCACTGGGAACAGTTAATCTGCGATAAATAGGATGAATGTAAGATAACATTTATTTTGAACATTGACCAAAAAAAAAGCATTGAATTTCATTGACCTACCTGTGCTCTCTTATTGCTCTGCAGTCAGCATTGCTGCACAACTACCCATTAAAACCCATGATGTTTAAAAAACAAATAAGGCACTATCTGCATTAAAATGTTTTCAGGTCTTAAGATTAGTTAATTATTATAATAGCAACAGTCAACAGAATGCCCCATAATTTTCAGCTAAACTGCCCTGCAGTTTATTTCCCATTCACACAAATGCCATTTCCTTATCTTCTCTGAGGAAGGTTTTCAAACACTTGAATATCATGCTTGGTAAGGTTTGTCCATGGTTCTTTCATTAACTGCCTTTAGTAAGGTTAGTTTTATGCTAACTATTGTTTTCGTCCCTCTGTTACATTAAATCCTTTTATAAAAATTATTCAAATGTACAGGGAATTGAATATTTTGGGACTGGCTCTGCTATATAGTATTACTCATATTTTTTCCATAGACCCAGATATTTTGAAGTATTTGGAAATGTAGGCATACGTCAAAAATAATTGCAGGTTCAATTTTCAATTTCAGAACACTGCAGTGAAGCTAGTCACTCAACTTTTTTGGTTTCCCAGTACTTATAAAAGTTAGGTTTACACTATACTGTAGTCTATTAAGTGCACAATAGCATTATGTCTGAAAAAGCAATGTACATGCCTTCATTTAAAAATACTTTAGCATACTAAAAACTGCTAACAATCATCTGGGATTTCATGAGTCTTTAAAACTTTTTGTTGGTGTAGGGTCTGCCTTGGTATAAATGGCTGCTGACTGATCAGGGTGGTAGTTGCTGAAGGTTGGGTGGCTGTGGCAGTTTTTAAAAATAAAACAATGAAGTTTGCTGCATTGATTGACTCTTCCTTTCACAAAAGATGTCTCTGAAGCTTATGATGTTGTTTGATAGCATTTTACGCACAGTAAATCTTTCAAAATTGGAGTCATTCATCTCAAACTCTACTTTATCAATTACATTATAGACTATTCTAAATTATTTGTTGTCATTTCAACAGCATTCCACCGAGGTTTAAATTATATCTCGAGAAACCACTCTCTTTGTTCATACAGATGGAGCAAGTCCTCATCTGTTCAAGTTTTATTATGAACAGAGAAGCAGCAAATTATCCAGAAGATCTGTTTAGCCTGTCCATTGCTTTGAAGCCAGGCACTGGCTTCTCTCTAGCTACAAAAGTTTTAGAGGGCATCTTATTCCAGTTTTACCATGTTCAAGTTTAAGCTTGACATTAAAGCAATTTAGTCACATCTTCAGGTTCCACTTATAATTCTAGTTTTCCTGCTGTTTCTACCACATCTACAGTTACTTCCTCCACTGAAGTGTTGAACTCTCCTCAAAGTCATCCATAAGACTTGGAATCAGCTTCTTCCAAATTCCTGTTAATATTCATATTTTTACCTCCTCCCGTAAAATATGAATATTCTTACTGCCATCCATCTAGATTGTTGAATCCTTTGTAGAAGGTTTTCAATTTACTTTCCCATATCTATCAGCTGACTATCTATAGCAGTTATAGCCTTGAAATGTATTTCTTAAATAATAAGTTTTGAAAGTCTAAATTACTCCATGATCTATTGGCTGCAGAATAGATATTGTATTAGCAGACATGAAAACAACATTAATCCTCGTGTACAGCTCATCAGAACTCTTGAGTGACAAGGTGTATTGTCAGTGACTATGAATATTTTGAAAGGAAACTTTTTTTCTAAGCAGTAGGTCACAACAGCGGGCTTAAAATATTCAGTAAACAATGCTGTGAACAGATGTGTCATCCACACTTTGTTGTTTCATTTACAGAGCAGAGGCAGATTTAGCATACTTAAGGGCCCCAGGATCTTTAGAATGGTAAAAGAGCATTGGCTTCAACTTAAAGTCGCCAGCTGCATTAGCCACCACTAAGAAAGGTAACCTGTCCATAGAAGCTTTGAAGCCAGACATTGACTTCTCTCTAGCTATGAAAATGTTGGGTGGCATCTTATTCCAATAGGAGGTTGTTTAGTGTAGCTACCTTAATCAGTGGTCTCAGCTAGATCTTCTGGAGAACTTGCTGTGGCTGCTCCATCAGCACTTGCTGCTTCACCTTCCACTTTTATGTTTTACAGGCAACTTCTTTCCGTAAATCTCAAGAACCAGCCACTGCTGGGTTCAGACTTTTCTTCCGCAGCTTCCTCACCTTTCATAAAATTGAAGAGCATTAGGGCCTTGCTGTGGATTAGGCTTTGGTTTAAGGGGATGCTATAGCTGATTGGATCTTTTATCCAGACCAGTAAAACTTTCTTCATATCAGCAATCAGGCTGTTTTGCTCTCTTATCATTCATGTGATCCCTGGAATAGCACTTTAAATTTCCTTCAACAACTTTTTCTTTGCATTCATAACTTGGCTAATTGGTGCAGGAGGCCTAGGTTTGGTTTTCTCAGCTTTTATCATGCCTTTGCCACTAAGTTTAACCACTTTTGACTTTTAATTTAAAGTGATATCCACTTGTAGACCTAATCCTGAATTGTACCCCACGTCTTTAAAAAAAAAAGAAAATAACCATCAGTAGTTGGAATAAAGTAGTTTGCTTCTAGGGAATCTTAACAACAACAACAAAAAAATAAAGTGAAGGACATGTGACTCTTCCTTTTACTTGAACACTTAGAGGCCAGGGTAGGGTTCTTAATTGGACTAATTTCAGTATTGTGTCTTAAGGAATAGGGATGTCCAAGGAGTAGAGGAGAGATGGGGAAATGGCTGGTCAGTGAAGCAGTCAGAACACACACATTTGTCATTTGCGTTCGCTGTCTTATGTGGGTGAGGGTCAGGTTACCCTCAGACAATTATAATAGTAAAATCAAAGATTACTGATTACAGATCACCATAAGAGATATAGTAGTAAGGACAATTTGAAATATTGGGAGAATTACCAAAATGTGACACAGAGACAAAGTGAGCACATGCTGTTGAAAAAAAAGCAGTAGTAGATATGATCAAAGCAGAGTTGTCACAGACCTTCAGTTTGTAAAAAGCGTAATATCTGCCAAGCGCAATAAAGCAAAGCACAATAAAATGAGGTATGCCAGTACACTAGAGACCATCTGTTGAGTAGCAGCACTTTTCTCACACATACAAATACATATATATATAAATATATGTACGCTTGCAGTTTTTCATTGCTTCCAGGATACTTAGATTTCCTAGAGTGTAAGTGTGGATCCTTTGCAGTTTAGATTTTTGCCTATATTTTCAGCATCTTCTAGTAGCCTTCCAAAAGAATCTTCTTTGTAGCTCTAATGACCTACCCTTTCCCTGCAACCCCCCAAGCAGTACATCTTGCTTTGCTCTTTGCCTGGAATGAGTTTCTTATCTACCTCCCCAACTTTTGAGTGTGTGTGTGTGTATGTATGTGTGTGCTATGACTCCTGTATATACTTTTTGAAATAGTTCACCTAGACCTAATTTGGTCCTCAAGCATTTTGTCTTAATTTGAGACCTTCCACAGAACCTGAATCACTTCCTGGTACATAGTATGCACCAAGTAAATGCATGAGGCTTTGTATGAGTGCCAATAATCAGTTATTTAAGAAGCTTATTTTCTCTGTTACTGCCTTTAATTAAAATATTTTAAATTGCTTCTTAAACTGTAAATTACAATTTTTATCAGCATAAAAAATGTCTTGTCATATTCTTTCTAGAATTGCCACCTCAAAATGTATCCAATTGAAAGCAGTCAATATCTTAGCATTTTTTACATTTTTACATGTACACACGCATGTACACAAACAACACAGACACACTTGTCAGCAAGATTTTTTTCTTCACTTTTTCTCTGAGAATAATAATAGCTGAAATTCATAGAAACAAAATTTTGTTACAAATAGACAGCACTCTTAAATCCTCCAAGAGAATGCCAACATATATTTTATCGAACAAAAGGAAACATGAAGTATGGATAACTCAATGTATATTCACCCAAGCCAAGAAAATCTTCATGTATTTTCTTTCTACTGGGTGTCTCAATATTGAACAACACTATTAATAGTATTGGTTCCAAAATAACTCATTATTGGTCCTCTCTTCTTCTTTCAGTACTACTTTCTTTGATTTGATTTCCAGACCATTTCTGGAATGAAGTAGTTGCACTCTGTGGATTAAGCTGCAAATTTCCACGTTTCTTCAAAGTGTGACACTAAGAACTAAGCACATGACTTACCATATTAACCATCTAATCACTCCAGAATTCTGTAGGATTTTGCCTTCCTAGTGCTGGATGATTATGTTTGCTTGCATCGTAATAATTGACCATCTTGAGTTTACAGCAAACACTTCCTCTCATAAATATTTTCTCATATAATCTGATTTTTAAGCCAAATCTCAGGAATTCTGTACATTGTGGTTAATTGCAATTCTCTTGATGAAGGCATTTAGCAACAATTATAGACTCTATTGTTTATCTTTGTAAAAAGTGAAGTAAATCATTTTATGCTTGTTTTTAATTTTTATAGTACTGGAGAAAATGAACCTGAGTTTGGTCCATCAAGATGCTTGGCTCAATAAAAAAACCACTCAAGGAGCAACCTATGGATGTTGAAGACTTCAGAGTAATCAGCAAGAAGGAGAAAACTCAGTCTTCAAGATACCATATTTCCTAAATGTTACATGGTGTCTGAATTCCATTTTCTTGATTATCCCTCTTTAAGTGGTCTTGAAGGGTTTGTTTTGAAATATTGTATATATTTATTTTCAAATGTATACATTGTTAATAAGCTAAAAAAACAAGATGCTTATTCCAGAATTATGCACATGAAAGTTCTGGAGGAATTTTATGTTGAAATAGTAAAACATTTTAATCTTTGAGTTTAAAATGTCATTTTTTCCCCCTTCATACCTTCATATCAGGACAGCAGTTAAATGACTTTGGATTAATTATCTCAGTTTGGAAGTTTTTTTGGTCCCTCCTTCCCTCTTTTTTGCTTCCCTCCTTGACTTTGGTTGTTGTTTTTGCCTAACTTGTACATTTAAAGTTTTACTTAAAAATTTTCTTAAAGTTTTACATGTTTGCCAGGTGCTGTGGCTCATGCCTGTAATTTTAGCACTTTGGGAGGCTGAGGCAGAAGGATTGCCTGAGCCCAGAAGGTTGAGGCTACAGTGAGCTGTAAGTATACCACTGTACTCCAGCCTGAGGACAAAGTGACACCTTGATTTAAAAAAAAAAAGTGTTACATATTATGACTTGTTCTTTTACAGTTCAAGTATAGTTTATATTTCAGAAAGATAGTCATTTTCTCATGTAAATATTGATTTTCTGAAAACTGTTCTTCATAGTAGTCCTAAGTTGTAAGTATATAAATTAAACTATGAAAATGTAGCTATTTAGATAACTGGCAGGTAATATGACCACAGATTTTAATATTGATCATAGGTTATTTTCACATATTCATGTAAGGCAATGCAAGTTGTCTCTGCAATAAATTCTTTTTTGATGCAAATTTAGTTTTCAAAAGCTTTTTGATGGTAAAAAGGAATTTAAGGAAAAAATAAAGCTTTTTGAAATAGTTCACCTAGACCTGTTAATGTAATATGTTCTTTCTAAATTATTAAGCAAAATAATTTTTTGTCTTTTATGACTATAAGTCCTACTAATCCATCTAGGTTTTCTGATTCGTGGAACTTTGACGAAAAGGTACATATGCAAATGATGTGAACACAATATTTTTCAGATTAATATGTTACGTAGTAATATGATTTTGTCTTGGAAGAAAAAAATGTCATTTTGATGCTGAATAAATACTAAATATCAAATGACAGAAAAAAATGAAGGTTAAACTGTGGTACAGTTTCAGAGAATGCCATTAATCATAATGTTTTTTTGTCACAAAATTCTTATCTCTGAGCTAGCTTCTTTAGAGTGAGGTTACCAGCTGGAAAGCAAGCGAGTAATTAAGAGACATCCTAGAGGCATATGGAGTATAATTTGTAAAAAATGTACCTGCAGATAAGAAAAATGGTAAAGATGTAAGGATCTTTGTAAATCATCTCAAGAGAGTTTATGCCCAAACTAACTGGCAAACGCCGTACTCTGTCTTGATTTTTCTTTCCTTCACATATTTGTCATTTTTTGTTGTGTAGATATTTTTAACCCTTCTACATGATCATTCTTCTAGTCCTATTTGCATTGGCACCTCCTCTGAATGACTCTGTCGAAAGTGACCTTTCCACCTTGTGAACTCCTGGAATCATTTATAGCTTTTTAACTAGCATTTAGCAAAGCTTAATAGTTTTGTTATGTTTACATCTCCTATTTTAGGGCTTGGCATACTTTTCCTGTAAAGGGTCAAGAAAGTAAGGATCTTCAGTTTTCAGAAGTATATAGTCTTGGTAGCATCAACTTAACCCTGCTAATTGTAAGGCAAAACTATTATCTGACTTATCTTTATAAATTCCATAGATTTTTGCATATATATTAGCATGTTTATAGGGAGCTCAATACAATAATTTATTCACTAATATGAAATTATATAAGGGTAAACACTGACAGCTAGTAAGGAAGTTGATCATGAGTAACCTTGTGTTCAGTGCAGCCTGAATAAGAATGATAAGTTGAAGAAAGCTTTCTGGGAAAGAAGATGGGTATTGAGTGAAGACGGAGCATTTCTCAGAAAGGTGGACAGTGGATGTGGTTTTGCTGAGAATATTTTGTCTGTGGCTGGTGAGCCAAAATCAGAAAGAAAAGGGACTCAACAGTCTCAGATTTTATTGCTCAAAACAACTTTTTATTCCTCTTTGCCATAAATTTCCATTGCTTTTCTGTTCAGAGCTCTATCCTCACAATGTAATCTGTATGTTTATTGTCATTGCAAAGGAATTCTTGGCAAGTTCTATAATGTTTTCAGCACAGCATTTGCTTTGATATTTTAAAAATGTATTTGTGATTTAATTAAAAAGTGTGGGTGCCATGGTCTTTATTTAAGTTACTCAGGGTGAGATTTCTGAGTTGGTAGAGGGAGAATGTGGATGACAGCCATTGAAAGTGGGACAGTGGGAAAGAGAGAAGAAAGATGTGGTAAACATTTTGAAGTAAAGGGTGATAAAAACCTTGGTTTTTTGTGAAGACTAGCAACAATCATTCTCCATATGCTAGGGTTAGATGCTTCCCAGTTTATTTGGATTATAAAGTTTTTAGCTGAGTGTATACTGTCTGTGTGCTCATTTTTCAGTTGAAGAAACTGAAGTTTGACAGAATTGAATCATCTGCCCAAGGATAAGGTGCTAGTGAGAATAGTGTTAGGATTTGAAGTTGAGTTAGACCCCAGTGATCACAGTCTTGACCATTATGTTCTTTTGGCTTTCATTTTTTTCTGAGATGGTGGTGATAGTACTGACCTCTAATGTGTGCATGTGTGGGTATGTGATTTATTCAGCTTTAATCCTCAAAAGACAAGGCTTATTCCTTTTCTTATGTTTTGTCATGTTTTTTCCATTTCTTTTAAAAGGATTACCAAAGGCGCAGTCAGTAGTCAGTAAAATATTTTCAAGAAATTTGTGTTGTATTATCATGCCACATATTCATATTTGCCTTGGGATGGAAAATAGATCATTCAGTAAAAACATACAGGTAAAATAAATCTTGACCATGCAGTTATTAGCCTACAATCATGATGTACTATATATACATACTTGCACATAAATCTAACATTGCAATTTAAAAGGAAAAAACCAGATAGAAACTGTTAGGAGCATTTTATAAGTCATTACTAAGGCTTGTTTTATTTTTTAAATTCATCTTTTTAAAGCAGGATTTCTTTAGAGGACAGAAAAGCTCCCACAGTGGGAGGGGACCCAAAGGGGTTGCCCAAGGCTTGTTTTAGATAGATCACACAGTTTCAAATAAAAACTCATATAGAGAACACCTTTAGAATAAACCTCAATGCCAAATGGAAAAAAAAAATTTACAAAGAAATTTCAGAAGCAGTGTGGACTTAGTATAATTGTATACAGAAAATATACTGATTTGCCAAAATACATAATTTGATATATTAATACTTCACTATAAATGATGCATAACACCTGGATGGGATCCAGGAGCAAAAAAAGAACATTATAGAGTAGCTTTAAAAAATAAACAGAATAAGTAGCCTCAGGAGATAGTGAGTGTCCCACATGAGTGACCATGGCTGAGATGGGACCCCTGAATCTGATGAGACTGCACTAGACCTCAGGTGCCAGATTCCACTGTAAGGACCAGGGAAAGACTGGACTGGATGTGTCAGAACCATCTGACTATGTTAAAGCATGCACTCCCAATCCTCACTCCCGAGCAACTAAGTCAATCTGGGGGTGGGTTTTGTGAGTATTCCCAGGGGATTTTGATGCCTGGTTGGCTAACCGACTAGCCTAGATGTTAACATTTTAGTCCAGAGATTGGGAACGGCTAGGGAACAGGGCCCAGGGAAGGGAAAGCATAAGAGCAGAAGATATACTCCAGGCTGTGACATCCTGATTATCCAGCCCAACCAAATGCTGTACCCTATGTTATCTTTCTTGATTATAGTGGGGAAAAGTTAATCTGGATGTATAGACAATTTTAAAAAATTAAACAATGAATGATTTATATTAAGAGTGGGTACAATGTAAATACTCATGAGAGTTCATTTTGTTCAGTGCTATGGACTGGTATGTTGTTTTTCAACCTAGCTTTTTACTTTTAACTGCCTTAAGGATAGATAACACATTCCAAAATGAAGTATTTGTTTTCAGTCACTGTTGGTAACATATTTTGAGAAATATGTATGGTTTCAAAAACTTCATATACTTTATATGAAATATGAACAACTTTAATATGAGTAAACATTTTAGAAAAAAATTGATTTATAAGATTTCTTATTAGGAAAAATTGCCAATAAATCATGAGCTAAAGCAATGGATATTTTAAATCACTAAATTGTGGGGGTAGTATTTTATACAGCAAAAGCTGCTACTGATATCAAGAAGCAAACACTAGGAATGTCAAGATAAAACAAGAAAATGAGTCCAGTGGACCCACTGTATAGGGTAACTTTGGAATTAATTTTAAAGACTGTTTAAATCATAAGTTTTCATTGGTCTGATTTTACCAGATAACTCCCCCCAAAAGGTTTCTGATTTAAAAGGGAATGTTTGATTAAAAAGTGAGTTATATTAATAGCATCCCAATATTGCTACTCTAAAACTCTGGAGCCTAAATGGTGGAAATAGAAATAAGCTCAAAATATGTTGAGTAGCACATACCTGAATGGACCACAAAATTTACACCTTCCTTGTTTGCATTAGATCATCATCACTGCTATTTGCTTTGTGACCATCAGGACTAATCTCTCCATATACCTTTTATCTCTGTGTTAGTCACCGCAAAAAAAATCAGGACCTTCCTAATCATACCCTATACCCTGGTTTCATCCACATAGAGCTTTGCACAACCTCATCTCCTCAGCGCTCAGGAACTCCTTAGGGCCTTTATCAACAGAATTTGTGAATGCCACAGTTTACCCTCTATGGTGTTAAACTAGGTACTAAATACACTTTTGTTCCCTTTTCTCTTTTTAACAAGAAAAAGAAAATGAAACCAAGCAAGTTTTAGGAATTCATTAAAAAAGTCAACTATGAAAACATCTCAGTATATTCTGTCTGTATAACTTTATCCCCTTTACACAGCAGTGAACGACTGTAATGTTCATAATCACAAGCCTTCCCAAAATTACCGGTCATCAAAGAAAACCAATGATGCTGTTAACTGTGTCTAATATTGAACTGTTAGTACAATGTCTGGCTCAGTAAGTTTCATAAACGAGTAAATGGTTAATTCTCCGTTAAAAAGAGCA